GCTAACCCTAAAGCTAACCCTAAAGCTAACCCTAAAGCTAACCCTAAAGCTAGCCCTTACGTTAAGTTGAATCGGCTTTCTTTTAAAGTGCTATTTAAAGCGCCCTTCTTTCTCCGCGCTGGCTGTTGTCGCCCTGTTGATGACGCGGTTTAACCGGGCGTGGCTTAGTCGAGCGCGGTTTTGACGGGTCACACATTTTCACCCTCCCCAGGCTTCAGGAAAGCCTCCGGAAGCCATCTGATTTTTTTGCCCTTCTGGAGGGCCAGGAGAGGCTGTTTTTTTGTTTTTTTTTTGCCCTCCCCAGCCTCCAGAGGGTTTTATGAAACCTGGGGAGGGCGAAAAACAGCCCCAATGGCCCAACTGGAAGTTTGGAACTTCCAGTTGGCCCATTGGGGTCATTTTTCGCCCACCCCAGTCTCTGAAGGCTTTCCTGAAGCCTGGGGAGGATGAAAACAGCTTCCCCTGGCCCTCTAGAAGGGCAAAAAATCAGATGGCCAGTGCACATATGCACGCCAAAGCTGACTGCTGGCGTGCCACCAAATATGGCTCCGCGTGCCACCTGGGGCACACCTGCCATAGGTTTTCATCATGGCCCTCTACCATTTCAGACAAATGGCTATCCAACATCTTCTTAAAAACTTCCAGTGTTGGAGCATTCACAACTTCTGGAGGCAACTTCTCTTCCACTGATTAATTGTTCTCACTGTCAGGAAATTTATCCTTAGTTCTCTAGGTTGCTTCTCTGCTTCTAGGTTGGACTAGAAGACCTCCAAGGTCCCTTCCAACCCTGTTATTCCATTACTCTGTTTTCATGTAGTAAAAAACCAGTGGATACTTCCTTAATGCGCGTCATTTGAATGTCCCCATGTCAATGCAGCTTGGAACGTTTCTTTCTCCCTCACCTTTTTGCTCGGAGTTCGTAGTTATTCTGGAAGCCTACTTCATAAGCTTCTGGCTGTCCCACCTTTGCCACGTTCCTGGCACCAGTCCCTGCTCGGTCATTTGTGAAAGCAAAACAGCAATTGAATTGTGGTTGCTAGGCAACTGGAGCATCATTCTTCGGGTGATTCATGATCAACCGTTGTAATTATTTCAGCCCGTAGCCCGTGACGCTCCTGAGATTGGAATCTGTTCACTCAAAGAAACCAGAATGTTTGTATACCCTAGAGTGGAACAAACTGAAATTCTCAAGTGGTTATATTCATTTTACTGGATGAGGACTTAATAAAAGGAGGGACTGCCTTCTTTTGTGCGTTGCTGCTGTAACCAATTTTGTTGTATTTCTTTTGTACAATGACAATAAAGACTATACTACTATAACATTAGAAAAGTGTAAGAGATAAGGGAATAATCTATATATTGCCTATAAGATTGAAAACTAGGAAAGGCTGTAAGATTTCGTACCCCTCCAACCATTTGTTTGGCTGTTAAAAATCATAATATGTGAAACCCTGTGGAAAATAAATGTAGAGATAAATAAAAAACAATAGTAGCAAAATCAGAATAAATATTTGGAAAGGGAGACTACCTACCTACTACTTACCTACCTACCTACCTACCTACCTACTGTATCTACCTACCGTATCTATCTATCTATCTATCTATCTATCTATCTATCTATCTATCTATCTATC